CCTTTTCCTTTCATTTCGCACTGAATGAAGGGTTCTGCTGCATTGGAATGCTACGTTAAGAAAGTTCTGATATCGCTGACATGTTGTTGTGGTCTTGCGTTTCTCATTTCAACCACGGCAGTACATTTTTGGCTTTCGTTGAATTATCATTGGTTTCACATAAACCGCGCATACAGTGTCAAAAAGAGCTGTTGTAGAAGTACTGAACAGAAGTTGATGTGAGGTGTAAGGAAAGAAAGTGATGTGCATTACCACCTAATTTTGAAGCAGTTTAGTAAAAATTGGAGTAATACGACCCTTAATTTAATTTTTAATTGTTGCAAGGTTCTTTTTCGGCATGCTGACTTTTCATACGTATCCCATCTATACCATGTTCTTCAAGTAACTGGAGAGAAAGCCTCTCTGTCATTTGTTGAGCGCGATTTGTTTCTGTACGATCGGCGCATGAGATGTTATGTGGTGCGTGTTTACATTTATTGAGCTGATGATTGAGCGAGATGTTAGTGGTGTGAACCTACTGCTTAACATTTTGTCTGCCGTATGAGATGGGAACTTAACTTCACAGCTGTTTGGTACATTTTCAACTTTAATGCTTAGTAAACATTAGATCGAAGTGACGTCCTAAGGCTAGCACTTATAGTGCACTCCGTGTTTACCGGGTGCAACACTGAAACCGCCGGTCTGTCCATGGTTATCGCATAGCCATCACCCAAGGGACCGAGCGAGCTCTACAACGAAGTAGATACTTTATCCAAAATATGTTAGATTACCTTCGACTTTCTCAGAAAGAGGTTTACTTTCTGTTCAAATTTTGATCAAAACTTCTGTTTTTCTTTGCTTTGGGGCCATATTTCACTTCGCAATCCGTTGTCCGGTTTCATTTCTCGTAACGATTCCCGAGGTGATATTTATCATTTCTTTATCACTTGGGTAAGAAATTAGCTTAAATATGCTTTTCTTGATAGAACGGAAAATATCTGCCATCTGTCGGTTTTACTGTGTGTGATTTTGCCCTAGAGTTTTTCTTACCTAATTAGACGAATTGTGAAAGATTTTAGGCGTTCATACCATATGGTCTATTAGGTGCACTACCTAGAATAGTTTTTGTTCTATTTGTTTACATTCTCTGGTACAGTCACATTGTTGTAAACACTTAAATATCATTGTTTCACGGTTTTGATCCTTTGTTTTATAATCGAAATGACGTCGTGCACTGTGTCGAGAATGGATTTCCAACTCGAAATTTCGTAGGAAACACCACTTTAGCTTTTATACCCATGGAACAATTTTTGTGTTAGAACAACAATTCATGCAACGGTATTCAGTTTCACAATGTTTGTTAGAGTAATTACGAGTGAAGTTCATTCACAAATGAAAATGTCGTAAATTCTCAACAAGCTAGCACACAGTGGTTTTCGTTAGGAGCACGCGGCATGGCAGTATAGTGCACAGTGATTCTTTCCAAAATTTGTTTGTAGTCTCATTCGTCTTAATTTTAACTTTTCAGCTTTCTGCTAGTTACTCATGTGCAGACAACATCACGCAGCTCTCGAATTCTCGGCCAATTCCTGGGGCTCAATCATCCGGTACCTCATTTTTTATTTGCTATTTTACTAAACTAGGATGAAATCTCCAACTACAGCCATGGATAGTTTCTCTTTATAGTATGTTTATGTGGAATGGAGTCAAGTAAATGTTCATTTGGGTTAGGCATCAGATCACTAGATGTTCTCGAAACTAGTTTTTTCTGCTATACATCGCTCATTTCTGCGTTTACATTCATTAATAGTGATGTTGTCTAGTCAAGGAGTTGCCAGTTGGACGTTTTCATAGGATGAAAATCGAGATATATGTGATGACAGATGGTGCTTGAATAGTCAGTGGGCACTAAACGTGTGGCGTCGGAATGTGTCTGGAAAACTAAAAGGACACATGTTTAATAGGTGGCACATCTACTGCCTTGGCTTTTTGACATAAATGATGATTCGTCTGTAACTCGTAGTATTGTAAACGATCGAATAACTCGAGCTACTGGCAGCACTTAGCTGCTATCTTACCTTTCGTTCACTAGAGCCTTTTATTGAACTCTGCTCGCCGAAGGGAGACTATGTACACCATAGTTTTAGAATGAATTTCCTTGTTTTGTTATTGGGGAAAAGACACCCAAGAGAAGCTCATGGGACTATACTGCAGCATGAATTTATTTTTAGCTATCCCTGTCGACAAAAATGCCCACATCCGCACCTTCGGTATGGTGGCTGTTGGACGCCCGTTGTCCATTACTGTTCAGTCACTTAGCTCATCCCGCCATGGTGAGACGGCAAATTATTGTGGAAACATAGATGGTGCGAACACATGATGTGGAAGCATTAATAACCCGATAAAGCCATGAAAAATTCGCAAGATTCTACGATTTTCAAGAATATAATTGTGTTACGCTATTCATCATGAAGTGTCGGGTTGTGGAATACGAAATTTTCACCACTTTTGATTAATATACTTACGAGTGAAGTTCGCTCACAAAAGGAGTCAAGCGATTTGCGAATGCTTCATATGTTAGTTGAAAGGGAAAGATTCTGCTCCAATTTTTATGTGGTTTTTGTTTTGATAGACTTTTTAAAATGAAAATAGAAAAAAATTCGCAGGAAATGAAGAGCAAAAGAGAAATTTCTGGAAGAATTAGATGTAGGCGAAACTTTCTGGAAGAATTAGATGTAGGCGAAACTTCTTTGGATTCACTCAAATGAGTTGGATGTTCAAAATGAACTTCACAAGGTCTCGAGTGTCATCCGAATTGAACGAATGCGCAGAAATCCCCGTTATGAAGTCAGTTATGCGCTTGGGTATAACGGGATCCAACTTTGCAACAAAACGAGTCAAGCGATAAGTAAATAACTACATTATTTCATCTAGTGTCAATATAAATCGATATGTCAGCGTACGTTTGTATATAAAGAAATGTCGTTGTAATACTACAACATCTATTCGAGGCAAAATTGGCTCATTTAGGGATCATGTCATCTACGAACGATTTATTTATTTGAAACTTTGATATTTAGGTAAACCCATCGCGAATAAATATAGTAGAAGGCCAAAGCCTAGTGTTGACATCTAAAGATTGAAGGGATAAGTTGAAATGGGTTTATGGCTAGCAGTTTGTTAACTAATAGAAAAGTTGATGCTGTGCCGCGTTGAAACTTTCATGGAATTCGTGTGTGATTTCCGTGAAGAAACTATGACACTTTCTAAAAAATTGCTACTCGCTGCTTATCAGAGTGCCACCGAAAGGGGTCGTTTCAAATTTGAGCAATCGATTGGAATGAGAATTGATGTTGTGCGACGATCAGCGACGCTCAGTTTATTGGCTGTGTACGGTGGAGAAGCCACAGCGCATCCCAAAGGTGATTTTTCTTCCTTGGTAGACCGTGGCCGCTGTTTAGTGATGTATGGCAGGCGTTTCCCAGTAGAGCTTTTCCGTCATGCTGAGCGTCCTTCACTAAAAGTTTTTCAATGTCTGCGAAAATGAAACGGTTGAGAGGTTTGCGCGCAAATCAAAGTATTCTAGCAGAGATGGATTTAAAATACTTCATTAATGTATCGAAAGCGGTGGATTCTGCTGCACGTCAATGCATATCTTCTTTTCGAATGTGATGGCACAAAAGTTGTACGGTTTGTATACCATATAACTCTGCCTAAACTTCCGTCTTCGTCAAATTTATTGCCAACGGATTGGATTATCGGTATTTGAACATTTACATAAGGGTAAATAATATTCAGGAGTAAATATGTCCTAACCAAGAAACACTCAAAAAAGTTTGCGACGACGTTGTCTTATGTAGAGATTGAAATGTTTATGCAGGTGATAGTCTGTGGTTGGGACGAACAGTTCTTTCAAGACTTCACCTGCCGAATATTCTAGTAATAATTAAAGTGCTGTACTATATTTCATATGCTGTAGAGTACAATGAGATTACCCTTGTATAGCTTGTAATTCTACTACTCATTCAGTAACAATGGCAACGTTATTCCCGTCATGCATAGCTGTTGTCCAGTAGGTTTTCCTCGTTCGTATGGCACCGAAAGGGGCGCGTGTGGCGCAGTGTTCAGAGGTACCGTGCAATAGACACTTGGTCTTTGGTTCAATTCCGTACCTTGAGGTCTCCAAGCTCAATCCTTCCGGAGTCGGCAGATTGGTACCGGTTTTGTTTGAGAGGATGAGGACACTCACTCAATTCCACAGCAAGTCATTGTATAAGGTAAATATGTATTCAGTCACCTGAAATAATTCCTAATGAGCTAGCATGCATGGCGCATCCCTTTGGGCTTGATCAACGGCGAACGCTTTATCCTCTTTGTTCTTCACGGCACGAAAAACGTCACACTTTAATGGGATGCTGTTTATTTTCGGTGTTTATTGATAGGATTGCTTTCTCAGTCACCTGGTCTTGCATTTTCCTTATTAATTGATTTACCGATCTTAATTATGTGTACGAACTGTCTTCACGAATAACGAAATCTTGTGCGGCCCTCTAGGTCACGAGGTATCTATCAGGATGGTAGTTTGCTAGTTGGGCATGAGGTGGTGGGAGCAGTTTGAAAACACATAGGTACAACATTGCATGTGCACATGAATGGAACGGTGTTTAAGAAAGGTATAAATCAACGTCACAGTGGAAGCACACATCATATTCTGAATGCACCTGTATCTCAGCACTGGCACGCGGTCGGTTTTGGTTAAACGTTTAAGTTTTTATCATCATGGAAGTGCAACACATAGCCTAGAGACGTTCTTAAAGATAGTGTTACAACACTTTTTATCCTAACTAATCTATTGATGCGCGCATGTAACGCAATGGCTAGAGTTGCAATGCATGCGTATTATGGCTGTAATTAGATCCTACGCTCAGGCCTCACTAAACCTTCCGTTCTTCTGGTTCTGAAAGTATGTACCAGACTTCTCTTGAAGGATAACAGCAATTCAATAGTTCACCGCAAGTTGTGGCGTAGGCCAAATATGCATTCAAACACCACGTCGAACACCTGGCTCATCCCTCAGAGAGTGATCAACGCCGGACGCTTTTTCATTTATCTTTTATCCTTTATTTTTTCTACTTTATTGATTGTTTATTGGGTTGCCATCGACATGGTTTCAGCTTGGTATGTGTTTGGAAGTTGTGGAAAGGTTTTCGAAGAGTTGTCTTTGACGTATGCTTTTCGAAATAAATTATTTTGCTAATTGAATAGGAAGCGTTGAAGTTTAAAAATATTCCGTTGTTATAAGACATTTTTTCCGTAAGAGATATTTTGTGTTATTTCTTAAAGGGTATTGTCGTTTTAAAACGGTATGTCCGAAACATCTTGAGATTGGTTACCATTTTATGAAAAGTTCATTTGAATAGTCCAAGCTATTGTGTTCTTGACTAGAGGATATTCGATTGATAATGCATTATTTATTCCATGTTCAGTCCAGTATTTTCATGTAAAGTTGTAGTAGTTGCGGCAAAGCTATCATATGTGAAGAAAAGAAAAATTTGCAGGCTCTGGCCATTCCGGAAGTCCAATTACAATCGGTGGTGCTGCTTTTGGGTCAAATTTCCGTCAAGTGGTTTCAAGTTCAGCGCCTACAAGTTCAATAGATATGGATGCGATGTTAATGCAGTCGACTCATCAGTCACCATCGGCCACTAACGGAGACGATTACTATCGTGATAGAAGGAAGAAAGATATACACAATATGAGTGCGTTTTTATGTTGTTTCTGTATCATTGAACTCTCCTTTACTAAAAGTAACTTGACAAAGACGTGAGAATAGTAACACCTCGCGTTTGCTCAACAAAAATTCGAAGAAAATAACTTGACAAAGTTGAAGAGAAGAGCTCTCTAACGTTGGTGGTCAAAAGTCTTCATATATAAACTTGATTTAATTCTCCACGAAAAGTCTGAACAGTTTTTAGTTGAGCGACGAAGGCGTTACAATATTAACGATCGCATCAAGGAGCTTGGCATGATGTTACCAAAATCTTCAGCGGAGTAAGTTACGCAGATTTTTTTTACAAAGGTTTACACCCTTAGAATCCTTAAAGACCTGTTTTTATGAGTGGTGGAGTCCGAGCCATATTTGCTTTTAACTGGTATTTTGCCAGTTGGGTAAGTTTTTGTCTTATTTCGCAACGTAGCTTTCGAATACGTTCACTGATCGTTCCCACATACTCTCACCATATCTTTAATCGGTTGGATGGTTACCGCTTTTTAATAGTTTATTCCAAGACGACGAGAATTCCTGATTTCTCCATAGGTGGTCATTTGGATGAAAGAGAAGTGTCGAGCTCATTCTCAGTTTGATTTTCCAGAGACCTGAAGCTTAATAAGGGAACAATTCTGAAAGCTTCATGTGACTATATTCGCCAGCTACAACGTGACCGAGAGCTGATGCTCAAACAGCAAGCTCATCAACAAAAACTGGAAAATGTCGCGAAGCAGTATGCAGAACGAATACGGGTTGGTTTGTAAAATTATAGAATGTCATGGTAAATAGTCGGTAATATTTCTGCCATTCCATTTATGACTGTTATCTGAAGTATGATGGCATTTGAACTTTGGGATGGGTTTCTTTAATGCTTCTATTCTTTTCTTCTTGTTTTTCCTCGCTGGAAGGCAGATGAAAAGGCGGCTCTGAAGAAGGCGAAGCTGCCGAAACGTCAGCTATCGTTGTGTTGTATGTGTTCTATGTGTATGGATGTAAGCGTGTGCTGAATAACAACCTCACGATTGCTGAAAAGATAACGGCACGTTTGTAATCCAATGCCGAAGTTAGTAGAAAACCGATCTTGGGTTTCTATAATATTGTGTACATTTCCATACCATGCAAAAATTTGAATGATTTCCTAAAGGATAAAGGAAAGCTATTTGAAAGTAGTGTAAAATTCATTGCTTATCAAAGCGAAGGGCTTAACAGCCTTCATATTAATAACTCGAAACATCGCCTTTCAATTTATCTATGTATTGTGTGTATTTGTGTAATCAAATTATTTTTTTTATTACAAATTATCTTTGATAAACTCCCACGAAATTGTTGTATAGTTTACAGCTATCTATCGTCATAGTGAATTCATGAAAACACGATTATTCGCAACTTAGCCCTCAAAATGTGACGCGCTAAAAAATTTCATTGATTTCTGAATTTCAGTGGTTTCTACGTCAATTAAATGTTCCCTTTAGGAACTAGAAGAATTCATGACTCGTCAGGGCATTCAGCCACCTCCAGCCCATTTGCCTCCAATCCCTCGACTCGCTAGTCTGGATCGTCCAATTAAGCAGGAAATGGATGACACGGCCTCACCAAATCATACACCTTGTGGTTCTCTTGTAAGTTAATATTTACGGCATAGTTTTTTTTATTAGCATTCGCAGTGTTAAAAAACACTTCATCTATTTGAATGAAGAAACTTATCACCGTTATCTTCTTTAAATTTCGTGCTTCCATTAATCTCCCATTACTTTTTAACTTTAGTCTTCGTCTGGATTTATGTCACAGCTATCTGATGGAACGGCAGCTATGCAGATTGCAAGTCCACTGAGTAGACAGGCGATGCAGGCGGCCACCAGTCACTCAGAGAGTTATTTCTCTGTTGGATCGAGTAGCCCACCCGAATTCGGTACGAATTTTGGAGTTATGTATTTGTGTATTACCTTCTAATCAAGGAAAGGGTTGCGATGAGATGCATAAATTGTACTTTTCCATTGTAGTGTTTAGCAATTAGATGACCAGACGACTATCCTATATCGCATCATTTTCAGGAACGCCCCATACATGGCGAGACCATGGTATGCAGCAGCCGTTTCCTGACTTGATAATGGACGACATGGCAACATTACAAGTAAGTTGGTCGTTAAAATTGTCAGTGTTTGACATTCATTTAAATTTACATTGAGATTCCCTAACGTTATTACGCGAAATTTTTGGTTTACCCACATACAGTATAATTTTCAGGGCAGCAATCCACTTCTCAGCCAAGACCCTCTCATCTCTCAAGCTGGAGCACATCCGTCACCACACCTTCCTGCTGGAAGTCAGATGAGTCCAGATATTCAGTGGGATCAGTCAGGTTTCAGCCCTGAAGGCCATAATGGACTGCATCACCAGCACATGGATTTTTCCTAAATATTACTAAGTGCCGTGCGCTTTTTAGTTAATAAAATGGTATCGGAAGATCAGAATTTACGTTGTGCAGATTTCTTAGTTGACTCACTGCTTGATGCTTATTGTATGTTGCCCTAATTTTTTTCACTTTTCTGCATTAGGGAATTTATATCACTTTACGCCGTGATCACATGTCTTGCGAATCCTCTGTTCCCGCGTGTATTCTCTCGTATTGGTTATCGCTCGGTTTTCGGATGGTAGCGATGTCATCCGCGATTTCTGTCTCGGGTCGATCGGCAAGAGTAGTTTTTTTTTTCCACTTGTATACATCTGTTATGTTTGTCAAACACTTATTTTTATGAGATTTCTATATGTAGTTTTATTTCCCAGTCATACGTTCGTTTCATCACCATTTAAACCGTGCTCGGTTATTTTCTGCTGATTTTGTTAACATTTGTACAGTGTCACTAGGAGTGATGAGTTTTGGATAGGCACCGTTTACGAGACGTTTTGCCTACACTGATTCGCCTACGTTTTTTTTTTATCATCCTCGTCTTCGCCATTTATGCAGGGATTTCCCCCGTAGTGTTTTGTTGCCACACTTTTAACATGTCTCATATGACTTCATCTTTGATACGTTAACTATACGTTGCACAACATTCTCCTTTCCTTTATATTTCGACCTTTCTCTACATTACGTGGCATATGTGACCTCTCTACATTTTTTATTTAGCACTTACATAGAGATTGTTCCGATGTACAGGTGTACAAATTGAACTACCTTCGTTCTTATATTTTTGAGGGTGAAGTTAGCTTAATTCTGCGGGGCATAGAGGTTCTTGTTAAACCCACGCTACCTGCCTGTCATAGCACATTGGAAGCCCATATACGATGGACGAGGGCACTTTGCAGACACCATATGCCTCTATTCTGCTGTTAGTTGTAAATACTATATAAAAACCACATTAAATTTGTTGTTAGTGTGTGTAGTTATTACTTTTTGCAATTGTTATAGAAAAATATGGGGAGAACTTTACAGTTGGAATCTTTCTTTAATAACGGACCTTAATACGTGGTCTTTCGGAACCTACAACCAGCAAAGTGTATGCTGTAATTCGGTCACAGACTTTCCGCGGTAGTGGTGGAGGTATCCGTTAACATTGTGTGAAATCGAAATTCTAACACAAAATCCGAGAAGGTCTTTTAGAGGTGCTTAATGGGCTAGAGGTCCTGTGTAATACGACCTCTATATCCGATCGCTCTGCGAGCTAATCATGCATCCCATTTAGACCTGTCAGCCTATTGTTACCACCCTTGAAGCTGCTGATCCGGATCTATTGCCAGGTATGGTCTGGGAAAACTTTAAACGCTATCAGTGATTACAGGAAGAATTACAAGAATCACTTTCGACCAACGCCGAAAGCATCGATGAGGGCACAAAGTCCTAACGTTGCAGCCAAATTTTAGTCCGGTTGCAAGCATGGCAGATGATGGGTGCAAAACAACGAACCGATTGGGAGAACTGTTTGGATAATGAAGGATTAAGTGAAGACGTTTTATATACATAACAGTGGCACAGTTTTACGAATCGTTACCGCGTGCATGGCTCAGTTGCTATCCTCCTATGTCGTTGGTTGATTAACCTTTTTCCCTAAGATCATGGGATAGGAGCATTAGGATGTTCCAGGTGATCTCTGCATAGAGCCGCTATGCTTGTATGTCAAAGGGATACATGCCGGTGGGCGATTGTGTTTCTTCCAACTCAGTAGCGATTCAATGTTAGTAGTCTATAATCTTCTTCATTCTAAAATTTAGGTAAGAAGTGCTTTGAACATGTCAATTGCTCTCAAGATCGACTTCCTATTAACCTCGGCATTGGAGTATGAATACGTCGTTTCCTTGTTCAGCAATAGCGTGGTTGTTAAACAGCATACATTTACTTCCATAGAGAAACACAATACAATACAACACTAGCTGACGTTTCGGCAGTATCGCCTTCTTCAGAGCCTGGAAGGGTATACTGACATACAGTCTATTAGACCAGACGCTTCAATAACGCTTACAAATAAACGAAAAACTATGGTAACTACATGATCAACAGCTTTTCGAAAAATCGCTTTTTACGTGACTTCCAATGAGGAAGTTTAGAACAGCTGATTATAGTTGTATGTGGTTGACGACTGCACCATCTCACATCAAAAATCGATGCGAACATACGGGGTCAGGTCGCGCATGACCTCCGGGCATTCGTCCCTGTTATTCATTGTAGGGTTTTTGGCACTTATCCAAAAAGGCTCAAGAAGTTTTCGCGCTGGTGTTTTAGTCTCCTGTGCAAGGATGTTGACTTTTACTTCAAAATCGTCTCCGCTATGTTTTTGTATACTATGCGTGCCTAGTGGGGTACTTTGTCTTAGTTTTCGTTTGCCATCTAGGTGTTCTTTTTTATATGTGGATTGCTTTAACGTGATCACTGTATTGACTAGTACTCAGTAATCAATGGATGCGGCAAAGCAGTCGTTAGCGATATATGGAATTAATATGTCCATCAATAGGCATCGTTTGGTTATTGTATCTTGTCTATGAAATCCTCAGCTCTGTAAGAGGTATACAGGTATGAGCCTAGTGATCAGAATCATGAACTCAATACGTTAGCGCTTTGTGATGCGTAAAATACTTCGACGGTGAACAATGGAATCTAGCCTGCGACACATTTGAGCGGATGTGTCCGGAGATTTCGTCGCAGTACAAGGCATGAATCAGATTAGAAAAAGCTTTCTTCGTTCAAGAAGGTTTAGATCCTGTCATGTTCGTTCTAGACTTGGTAGCTCCTCTAGGAGATTAGGGCCTTCTTCGGTTGCTAGTGTCCATAACATTCTCACTGCCGAGTTGACAACTTGCAATCTCTCTTGTTAGCCAAGCACCGGGGGTACGGGAATTCTCGCTGCGCTTACAGTAGTTGATCGATGGGAGCGGAAATGATAAAGCGTTCGGTGATGACCAATCGCTCTGATAGGTGACTTTTGAAAAAAAAAGTTTGCCTTCGCCAAATCATTACAAAATGTAATAGAACATATCGAACTGTACCGTCTATTCAAAAGGCTCAGATAAATGTCTAACGAAGCTGAACATGGGCCATACTTATGGGGTGTATCATCTATTGGGGTTCATCAAACATAGTTAGAGGTGCCGGCCTATACAGTGACTTCTGGTGGTTACCAGTGCATAAAGTCAGCGCTACACTAATTCCAGATATGCGTGGTATCGACTTTGCGACCACGGAAATGTCGAGGACTTGGGGAACCTGGGCGGGTCGAACCAATGACTACGTGTGTATTGCAGAATGCCTCCAACCACTACACCGTACACACTCCGTTTGGGCGATATCCGCTTTATTTGTGTAGAAGCTCTTGGTTGGAATGTGTTGACAGTTTTTAAATTACAGTTAAAACGTGATGGAAATGAAGCAAAGTGCTCAAATATTGTAAAACCCCATGCTTCATACACATTACATTCATCGATCCTTTGCCATTTATTGCCATAGTTTATGCTTTCTGTCAAATGTTGTTGTCCATTGAAGCTGGTGGTACCACATGGAGACGACAGCAATTTGGGAAAATGGGAATGCTGAAAGGTTTTCACAATGAAGTTCCAATTCAATCTTGTTTATAATTTATCAGTGATATTTTTGCGTTTAACAAGAAGTCATCAGCGGTACATAAGAAGTTGAAGAACAATCACTGCACAGAATACAAATGCAAATAATCTGGTTGTAAAGCGTTAAATCAGTATACTGACACATGGACAACTATGTGCATTGAATTCAGTGCACGTTGTCGCAAGAATGGTTACCGCGTTCAGCTTTAGGCCCATATATCTTAGCTCATGGCAAAATTTGCAAATTTCAGTAGAAACCACTCGAATCTGCAGGTCTTTGTCTGAAAGATGGAACAACATCCGCTCACTCTATCGGCATTCTGGTTCCTTGAAGTCGAAAGAAGTTCTTTCCTCGAGGCTCGTATTTCGAACCTAAAGTCAGTTAAGGAAGCAGGGCTGCGTACAGAACGGCACGATAGTGTTCCACAACGTATCGTCGGTGCTTGTTTGCATTGCGGCGATTACGCACTCATTTATGTACATTTCAGTTCACATACTCATAATTCATAATTTATAGTAATAAAGGAAATTTTCAGGGGCGGATAGCACAGTGGTAGTGATGTCGGTTATCACGAGCATGGGTGATAGTCTAATTCCGCTCCGGGCCAACCAAGCTTCTCATCTCTCCGAGGTCGGGAAATTGGTACCGGATTTCGGGAAAAAATCACTCTCTGCAATCTAACTGGGAACGCACCAACCAGGCTATCTCAGGGCTTCAGTAAGAATTGCTCGACCTGCATTCTGCTGCATTCTAGATGAAATGAAAGTCCTCAAACAGCAACCGAAGCCACACGTAAAAAGTTGGAGCATCTTCGTTGATAATGGATGCAAGGAAACGAATCGAATGTGAGAAGTGCTGGGATCCGCACCGTAGATTTGAAGAGGGGTCATATATAAAATAAAATTTTAAAAAAGCGAAAAATCGAAAATCGTTTCTTCTGTGGATCTACGAAGCTCTAAGCTCTTACTTCATTGTGATGACTGGAAAACCACGGGTCTCATTTGCGGTTCTCGACTTATGCTTGAAGTTTTAAAAGTTCAAATTTCGTTTTCAATTATTTCAGAGTTTTATTCTCAAACTCATTTAAAATTAAAAGGATGACTGGCAAAAATTGTGCGTACCTGTAACATGATAGATAGAGCAGTCTCTTCTGTGTCTTTAGGGTTCTCACATCTTTTGCTGTTCGACTAATGACGAAATTATGGGGTATTGTCGAAAAACCAGCTTCGTGGCGAATGTGTCAAATTACATCCGTTGCCCCATAGAGGATCATAGATGGAAGTAAACAACAACAGCGAAACGCCGGCTGCATGAATTTCATAACTAATATCCTTCGCAGTCATAAATTTACGCTTATAAAAGTGAG